TGAGGCCATTGTCCCCATTTCACATATAAGCAAACTGGGCTCTGAAAGAGACACCTTCAGTGGTTACCATTATTGGGAACTACTAAAGCACCTGCCATGGGCTTTATAAACATTAATTCTTAAAGAGTATCAAGTAGGCATTATCTCTATTTTACAGGTTCAGGTAGCTTAACTAACATACTAGATTATATAGCTAGCACATGGAAGAGTCAGGTTTTAGACTGACTCCATAGAGACTCCATAGCACCATAGACTCTGCTTTTTATATACTACACACTGCCGTGGTCATATCGCTAGTAAGTGGTAGGGTTGTGAACACAGTCTAGGATTTTAACATCTAATTCAGTATTCTATTCTTTGTAATGTGCAGGTTCTGAATATTCTGAATGTTGAAAAGGATTGATTGATAGACATGTAGACGCATGTGCACCTACACAGTTTTAAACAGTTTAGTATAATTTCTTCCAAATAACCCATTTATTCATAAACTTTGTGTGATTATTTTTAAAGTGCATAGTGTATGTTTAATGTTTTAACCTAAATCTATGAGTCTATTTGCTCTCATTAGAAGAATGGAGTGTCTGGATTTCTGACCCTGTGAGTGATGTTGGATATTGGATCCCAACCTCTTAAAAAGAGTTGTTAACATTTTTTTATTTTTGTTTCAGTTTGCAAGTGAAGCTCACTGTCAGTTTGGGTTTTATTAGAGAATGGAAGTTCCAGTTTAACTCCCTGAGAGTGCTGATTTATTATAAGAAAATGCTGGCAGACATTTTAGACTTGCAAAATGACTTCTAATCACAGTTCAGGCTAAATTCGTTCTGCTGATTTAGAATGTTGGAGAGTGAGAAGAGTGAGGAGGAGGGACAAGTTATTCTATCCTTATTGAATTAATGCCATGTTCCAGATAAGACGCTGCCTTCCTTGCCCTGAGTGATGCTGTAACCCTGGCTTTGCCTTCTGGCTGAATGCACTACTGAGCAGGAAGAAAGTCTCGACTTCAACTCTAACAATCCACTGCCAATTAGTACTGGTTCACTTGGCATTTCCCCTGAGGTTCTTCAAATTTGGCATGTTTGGCATGTCAGGTACATGTGAGTCACCTGCTCAGCTGTCCCCAAGGCCCATTACACAGTGGGACTGCAGCTCTAAGGGCTCCCAGGCCCTCTCCACTGAGCTCTTCTATGAAAGGAAGATGACTTATCAAATTACTGGGCTTAGCACTATTTTTAAATTTTCTTCTAGAAGATAAAAGAAATTGGCCCTTCTCCCTTTTTATTTCTTTCTGGTAGTGAACATAATAATTTCTCCTGAGGAGCAGAGTGTCCACAGAGATTTTTTTGCATGCTGGAAATAAGGCAGATGGCTTGGGTATTGTCTCATATCATCAGCGAAGGCCCCAGCTAAGCTAATGACTAGAAGGGCCTGGAAGAAATTAACAAGCTTCTCAGGGTAAGCTGTGGTTTGGGGAAGTTGGTGATGTTGAGGATGCTGGAGGCTAAGAGAGGGAGAGAAAATAGGGTTCTTGTAACTTCTGGGCTTCAGCACCAACCCTTGTGATCCTGACATTTCCAGTGTGATCTGCCTTATGGCAGCATGCACAGGGTCCCAGCCTAACTGAGCCTCCTGAGTGGGTGGGCTTGGATGCTGGCTAGCCAGCCTTCCAACTCCAATATTCTGAACTACATAAAGTGCTGAGTGAGTGGGAAGTGCTGATCACGTTTAATACTGAGTAATTTTTTTAAGAACTTGAGCATGTCATACATTTATTTTTTCAGCTTTGGAAATGATTCACTTTTATGACACATGAACAAGAATTGTATTCACTAAAGAACCTCAAGCATAACAGCAAGTGAAGGAGGATGGAATTATCTTAAAGGGCTGTTCTGCAGTGCCTCCCCATCAAAAGAGCCAAGTAGGTAGTGAAGAGAAGCTATTTAGGGCAGGAGAGATAGGAACGTTCCCAGCAGGGCCTTCACAGGTTACAGTTCCCAGTTAAGAGCAATGTCCTGAGATTGCACAGGTATAAAGGTGACCTGTGAGGTACTTGGTTCTCTTGGGCTTTAACACCAAAATTTGAAAGCTGAGGCTGACCCTTTATCACTGGCTTTCTTCCCAGAGTCTGACCTGGGGCAAACAGGACTGACGGTTTTAAGTTATCCGGTTTCTGTTCAGCTGAGACCTGAGTGTCAGGTCAGCTAACAGGCTCCATGTTGGAGAAACATGGCTCTAGGTTTCATTGTGCTGAGAGATGTTAACTTCCGCCCGGTCTTAGGGTACAGCCCCACCTGGATGCCAGCTCCAAGGGCAGACTGTGTGCCCACCAAGTTCATCTGATATGCAGCGGGCAGATGAAGCTATGTGCTGTTCACCCGTTCTGCGCTCTCCTGCCCAGTCTAAGACTGTCCAAGGCGAGGCCTAGTCTCTGCTTTATCTGGAAGAAGACAAGACCACCGTCTTGGACTGACAGCCCAGAAGCTACTCATCTCCAACCTGGATCCTAAATTTGACAGTACCTCTTGACTAATCTTGTATCTCTGAGCCTTAGCTCCCTCATCTGTAAAGTGTAAGCTTTATTTTATAAATATTGAGTGTGTGCTACTTACGCAGGTGCTGCCTAAGGTATGAATACAGTAGGCGACAGCAGGGACAAACAAGACTCACTCCTCATAGAAACAAACCTCATAAGATCTTTGGAGGATTCCATGAGATAATGTGTGCAAAATGTTAGCATCTTGTCTGACCCTCAGGGCTGCTTTTTACATGTTAGCTTTAATGAGTTTTCCGCCAAAGATGGTAGAAAATATTTCAAAGCATGTCCTTTCCTGCCTTGGTCTGTGCACATGCATTTCTCTCTGCCTAAAATGCTCTTCCTTAATTCCTGTGCCTAGCTAACTCCTGTTCATCCAGTTCTCGTATAAATGGTCACTTCTTCAAGGTGGCATTTTTCTGACCAGTCCACTCTTAGATCCCCCTGTTGTTTGTTCCCAGGGCAAGTGGTACTATACTTTGAGGTATCCATCCTCTTGATAACTATGACTTGTTTAGTGTCTGTTTCCCTGACTAGACTGTAAATCTAGTGTAAACAGCATCCATGTGGACCAGAAATATTGATGCCCAGCTTTGAGAGTCTGCATAAACATCTGACCAACTGGCTGATATTTGAAGGGAATGTTCCCTTTCGAATGAGAAAATTGCACTGGACCCAAAAAGAAGAATCTGGCCCACCAGGAGCACATGAGTCCTTTCTTCCCTCTTTCTTTCTCCTACCATGAAGAGGAGGGACGGCCAAGAAATGGCTTAAGAAAGGCCATTCCCTGGGTGGTACCCCCATCTCCTAGAAGCAGCAGTTAGGGAACATAGGACGAAGAGTTGGGCTCCCCATTGTTCACTGGAACTTACCCAGCACCCATTCAGGGACCTACTGGGAATGGGGCAATAAAGGTCTTCTTTGATACCATCTGCCACAGTCACACCCTTTGTCCTTACCACAGCCTGGTAGCATGACTTAAAGAAAGTCTTGTCTCTTGTAACTATAGATAGCAGAAGCTTGATAAAATGAAATCTAAGGTCATAAGACTGGAATGGTGTCAACAGCAGAAATGTCTCTGTCACCTGATGTGAAAGATGCCCCAGCCTCAGTACCTTTTGGATGAGACCTTGGCAAACATACAACTGTTTACATGTGACTTACCAGAAATGTGAACTTTCTTGCCCTTTTGTGCCCTGTGGGATTTAACAAAGCAGCAATGTGACCTGACCCCAGTGGTTTTCTTCTGGCCAGAATCCAAGTCCCCCGAGTAGTGCTGGACTTCCCACACGCATTCCTGCCAGCCCACCATATGGAACTATAGGGCAGTCCTCTCTGCCAAGCCTTTCTAACCTCTATGCCTTTGCCCAGGCTCTTCCCTCAACCAGAAGTTCCTTTTGTCCATACATACACACATTAAGACACTTCAGTTCATTCTTCAAGACTAAGATAAAATACCACTCTATCACTCCCCTGACCACCTATTTCCCCCAAATTGGAGTTGGTTATTCCTAACCCTTATACCAATGTAGTGAGGTTATTTATGGATTTCCCGCTCAGTCCACTGAAGACAGAAACAAAATCTTGTTCATATTTATGTCCCTTTCAACTAATATAGTATCTGCACCTATGATTTACTATAGTATTCTACACTGTAGGTGTGTAATGAATAAATAGCTGAAAGCTGGGCATTTGCAAGGTGTCTGCTGGCCAGTGGGTCAGCCAGGATGCCTACAGGCAAAGGCATGTGCCAGAAACCACTAGTGGAGACTTTTGTGTCCAAACTGTTGAAACAGTGAACAGTTGTTAAAGCCTTGTGGTGAGGAAATGGCATGAGGAAATAGTACTTTGGATATATTCTTTGAGGGCATGGGGTATAATGATGTTGAAGGAAGAAAACTTAAATTCATTCTACAGATAGTAAAACTGAGGCTTAGGGAAGTTAAGTGATTTTCCAAAGGACACACAGCTAGTAAGCAAAGGAAACTGGATTAGAATCTAGATCTGGTTTCAAAGTTTGCCCTCTTAAATAGTATGCAAAAACTCAACCAAATCTGCATACACTGCCTGGAACTAGTGTCCATTGATATTCAGGGAATTCCCAACTGCGTTAAGTTTGATGCCATTATATCACTAGACCTCACTGGGCCTCAGCTTCCTCTTCAGTAAAATAAGGAGAATTGAGCAAAGTGCCTCTAAGGCCACTTTTAGGCTCTGAGATGCTATGATTATCTGTAGAAAGCAAATGGACTTTCTAACCTGGAGGTCAGCTTGGTCAAAACATAAGCGCACTTGTGTATTGAGCCTGAAAATCCTTCTCAGCTGTTGCAGTGGTGATTGTAATATACACAAAGAAAGCTGTGAACTATTGTCTTAGAAGTATAATCATTCTTCCCAAATGAGTATTCAGAATACACTCAGGCATCTACACTTTCTGAACTCACAGAAAGCTCCTGTTTATCCGAAGTCTACTTAAGTCACAGCAGTTTCCACTCACTCCCCATGCTTTCCGTGTTATTCCAAAGCACACTGAAATGAAGTTCAGAATTGCATTACCCACACCTGTGGCACCCAACCTCCAATCCGCCTGCCACCTCGCCCTGTCACACACGTCTCAATCAAGCGTACATGCACTTCTCTGACTTCAGGCTGAATCGTAGGGTAGAACACATCTGAAAATGTCTGTGTGGTTCAGAATGAACTCTGAAAACTTTCCACCCATACCACTGAATAACATCCTGTTGTTTTGGCTCTTCTTTTTTCTATCAAATCTGTGCAATAATGCCTTTGATTTGGCTTTCACTTGGAATGATCTGCCTGATACCAATTTCCTACAACATTCAGAGCCAGATACAATCTCATTATAGTCAGCTACATAAAGTGGACCTTTCAGAGCATAAAGAAACATCTGTCCTCCATCTGTGGTGCCTGAAAAATAGGACTTCCAATAGAGCACTGTGTAGGATGCTAGTGCTTTTAATGGGCAAGAAATCCATTTCTGACTAAAATCTCAATAAATATATCTAACAGAATATTTTCATCTTACATACTGTCTTTCAAAGAGCATTTCAAAGGCCACTATAGCAAAGTGGCTTATTAAGAACATAGTCTCTAGACTCAGCCAAACCTGGTTCAAATACTTGTTCTGTGATATACTGGCTGTGTGATCTCGGAAAGTGATTTAACCCTGATTTTAGGTTTTCTCAGGGATGTAAAATAAAATGCTAGCATCTACCCTGAGAGAGAATATTTTTAAACAGACTGGCCCATGGTACAGCAACAAATAAACATCAGCTGCTGTTCCTGTTTTGTTATTGCTGTTGTTAACACTAGGAGCAGAATGGCCTGATTCCTGATGTGGCTAAATGAACACAGGATTTGGAATTAGAAAACCTGAATTTGCACTCTACCATTGCCACTGACTAGTCAGATGACCCTGGGGAAATCACTGAATGCTTCTCAACTTAGCTTCCTCATCTGTAAAACAGGGAAAATAAAAATAGCTACCTCACAGGTAACAACTGTGAGGTTCAAATAAGGTGATTTATGTGAATTTCCTTTGCCAATTTCTAAACTCTGTATGTATGCATTATTTAGTGATTGTTAGTGTTATGGGCTGAATATTTGTGTCTTCCCCCAGAATTTATATATTAAATCTCTAAGCCACAATGTGAGAGTATTAGGAGGTGGGGCTTTAGGGGTAGTTAGATTTAGATGAGGTCACAGGGTGGAGCCCCATGTTAGAATTAGAACCCTTACAAGAAGTGACTAACAGCTCACTCTCTGTCTGTGTGTGTCATGTGAAGATACAGCAAAAAGTCAGCCATCTACAAGCCAGGAAGAGGGCCACCACCAAGAACTGAATCTGCCAACACCTTGATCTTGGACTTCCTAGCCTCTGGAACTGTGAGAAACAGAGTGTCTGTTGCTTACGCCACCCAGTCTAGGATACTTGTTATCACAGCTCAAACTGACTAAGACCATTGGTAACAACACCAGAACTGAAGAATGTATCTAATTTTCTTATTCAGGAATTTTTATTTACAAAAGCCTTAGTGATGTGCTCAAGTAACTATAGCTGATTTCCACTTAGTCACAGAAATGAGGACTCTTTGCATGAACTAAGGTAGCATCAGGTACAGAACATCTGCTTTTCCCAACAAAGCTCTGTATACTCACCTTAAACCTGGTCTCTCTGAATGTTTAAAATGTGTCCTTTCTGTCAGTGATGGATCAGGAAAAACTATAAGGAAATTAAGAGAACATTTTAAAAAATGTGTCCTGGTCAATTGCCAATATATCTGAAAGGTGGTATTTTGGGATCTTCGGGTGTCACTTTTCTGGCTGGAAACCGCTGTGGCTGGTGGAGCCTTTGCCGAGTTTTGCTTGGTGCTCTAGGCTTGTTCCACCCACTCGGTCTGGCAGGCTGCACCCAGTTCACACTACCAGCCTGGATTCCATGCCCTCTAAGGGAGACTATGAGTCAGGCGTGGAGTGGCAAGGGGTGTGTAAGCTAGGGTGGGGTCTGGCCACTGCGCTGTTAGACATGCTGGCTACTGCCACAGAACAGGCAGCTCCAGGTGCTAGCACAGGCACTGGTTCTCTGTGAGGTTGCAGCTGGATCAGGTGCACCACAAGCAGCTTCCCCAGCTGGCATCAAGGTATGTAGCTGAACCCAGAAACTTGGAGACAGCAGGAACTGCAGAACCCCAAAGAGGGAGTCAAAGCCCTGGCTCAGGGAGCTCTCAGATCTGGGCTCCCTGAAGGGCCACAGCTCTTCTCTCCTTTTCACCCACAATGTGGCAAGCAGGGGCATGTTTCAGCCCTGTTTGGGTTACAGTTCTTTTAGTTTTGCCATTTGGAAGGTCCTGAGTTCTTGACCTGTGCCAGGAAGAATGAGGTGCACAGAGAAGTGGAGGGTGAGCAAGACAAAAAGGAGTTTTATTGAGCAATAGAACAGCTCAGAGGACACCTGCAGTGGGCCACTCCTCTCCATAGCCAGGGTATCTCAAAGTGTTCAGCTGTCATCAGAGAGGGAAGCTCCTCTCTGCTGGGAAGTTCATCCCAACAAGTATCTAGCTGTCAGCAGAGAGGGTAGTTCCTCTCTGCAGCTGTTCATCCCATTGTCTTCTCAGCTCTCAGTGGACAAGAGTCCCTGGGGTGGGCAGCTCCTCTCTGCAGCTGGTGGTCCCATCATCTCACCCTCTTCTCTCTATCTTTTCTCTGTTCTCTGCCAGAGTCTGGCTGAATCCAGGGTTTTTATGGGCCTCAGAGGGGAGGAAGTATGTGCTGATTGGTCCATGGGTGGCCATGGGTGGGCCCAGGGAAAAGCACCACAGGTTCTCCCTCCAGTCCCTGGGACTGGGACCCTGGCCCCCAGGCTTCAGGTCCTCCCTGGTTTGAGAATGGGGCTTCACTAGGGACCAGTCCCCTTCTACCCAGGAGCCTGTCTGCCTCCTGCTACTGTTCATGACACCCAGGCTGTTCATGTCAAGAAGCATGGGCAGGGCCAGCACTGGGCTGTTCTCAGCACCCTCCTTTGCCTCCCTCCTGTGCTTGTCAATGCCCAGAGTCCAGAGGGGACTGAGGTGCCAGGGAGCTGGCATGTCAGCACTGCCCCAAGTGTGTGTATACCTAGCTGGGCTGTGACAGTGCCCACATTTGGCCTCAACTCCACTCTGGGATTGGAGCCAACAGCAGGGAAAGGCCAGGCAGTAGGAGCAGACACCTTCAAGCATAAGGAGGGTAAGAGGGGGGCTTCCCAGACCCCTGAGAATACAGAGATGCCAACCCAGGTGGCTGTAGAGGCGCCTGGGAGGGTGGGGCTCCTGCCTGCTCCTTGCTCCTGCCAGCTCCCTGGAATGCAGCACCACCCTTGGTCCAGCTCCACCTCGGGGCCCCTCTCTGCATGCCCCTGTGCCCAACCATGCTGCCCCCACACCAGAAGGCAACTCAGCTTGGCCCCATCGTGGAGGCTCCGAGGGGCAGGCTCCAGGGACTGTCCACCACCTCCCACACCTCCCCACAGCGGCAGTGGGCAAGAGCGATGCCACAGTGCCAGGGTATAGAGTGGCAGAGGCTCCGGGCCTGAGGTGGGTCCCGCCTGGCTGCAGCCGGTGGTGCAATGGCAGCAGCTGCTCGGGATGGCCCACCACTGCCATCAGTATTAAGACAGAAAAGGGCTGTCAACTTTCCTACTGGGTGTTGTTTTGATGTGGTAAATGTTAGTTTTTCAGATTGTATCTCTCTTCCCTTCCTAGCGCATTCAAAACAACTAGTAATTCAGCTACTTTCTGCCCTTCTGGGTACCTGATCATCTCTTTTGTCCATTTCGTAGTATGGAAGTCACTGGGCTGGGGATTTTGACACCAGCCAGACTTAAATTTGAATTCTGACTCCTCAACTTTCCAGCTGTGTTATCTTAGACACATCAGACAACCTTTCTATACAGCTCAGTTTTCTCATCTGCAAAATGGAAAAGAATAATAGCTATGTTACAGGGTGATTAAGAAAATTGAAACAACACATATAAAATTCTTAGTCATATCTGACACCTAGTAGTCACCTGTCACCTTATCTTCCTTCCCTTGAATCTTCTTCTTGCCCACTTCTAACTCCCTATGCCTGATTATTGAGCCCTCCCTGGGGCCTTGGTGAGATGATCACTAACACAATCAATGGCTAATATGAGCCAGTAAGAAAGCGTCCCTGGGGAACAATCAAATTTCTAAACTAAGATTCTTCTTCCAGGTCTTATAAACTCTCGGGCTTTTGGACATTCCAGTAAAAACAATAGACTCTACTAGATATATTTGCTAATTTAATATTTGCTTAAAGTACATGTGTGTGAACTTGGATAGTCACAGAATGTCCCAGTAGATGCACAAAAAAATACCTGGTAACGCCGTGTATATTTTCTCTGCTTATCTTTTTGTATTTTTTCGAATTTTGTACCATGTGCATGTATTCCTATTCTAGAACTAGAAATACCATTTGACCCAGCAATCTCATTACTTAGTATACACCCAAAGGATTATAAATCATTCTACTATAAAGACACATGCACACATACATTTACTGTGGCACTGTTCACAATACCAAAGACTTTGAACCAACCCAAATGCCCATCAATGATAGACTGGATAAAGAAAATGTAGCACATATACATCACAGAATACTATGCAGCCATAAAAAAAAGGATAAGTTCATGTCCTTTGCAGGGACATGGATGAAGCTGGAAACCATCATTCTCAGCAAACTGACACAAGAACAGAAAACCAAACACCACATGTTCTCACTATAAGAGAGAGTTGAATAAGGAGAACACATGGACACAGGGAGGGGAACATCACACACTGGGGCCTGTTGGGGGCTGAAAGCTAGGGGAGGATAACATTAGGAGAAATACCTAATGTAGATGATGGGTTGATGGGTGCAGCAAACCACCATGGCATGTGTACACCAATGTAACAAACCTGCATGTTCTGCACCCAGAACTTAGAGTATATAATACTAATTTTTAAAATGCTAGTGATGTTGAAGTATTCTTTGCCAGGCATTGTAGTAGGAGCTCCCTAATGACCTGGAACCTGTTAATATAGTCTCCAAAACTTTCTAGTATACAGAGAAGAAAAGCTGTAGTTCTTGAAGCAGAAAACCACTGCCTGAGCCAGGAGAGGAGGTTCTCACTCTGTGGCTTCCTTGCCATAGAATGTTTGTAACCTCTTCCCTTGAGATTTGCAAAGTAAATCTTGTATTTGTCATCAATAATAGTAGTGATCTATATTGAAAGCTTACTATGTGTCAAGCACTGTTCTGTGTGTGTAGCTTCACAATTACCTCGAGTTAATTATTATACCAATCTTGTGAGGTGAGTTGTATTTTTATCTATATTTTACTTTTTTTTTTTTTTTTTTTTGAGACGGAGTTTCGCTCTTGTTACCCAGGCTGGAGTGCAATGGCGCAATCTCGGCTCACCGCAACCTCCGCCCCCTGGGTTCAGGCAATTCTCCTGCCTCAGCCTCCCGAGTAGCTGGGATTACAGGCACGCGCCACCGTGCCCAGCTAACTTTTTGTAATTTTTAGTAGAGACGGGGTTTCACCATGTTGACCAGGATGGTCTCGATCTGTTGACCTCGTGATCCACCCGCCTCGGCCTCCCAAAGTGCTGGGATTACAGGCTTGAGCCACCGCGCCCGGCCTATTTTACATTTTTAAACATTGAGTCTCAGAGAGTCTCCTAACTAGCAAGTGACAGAGCTGAGATTAACAGTTGTTACTGTATAGGGTTGTTAAAACAGGCATAGATTGTTATTAAAGCTAAATAAATTCATACATATAAAGTGCTTAGAACAGCACTGGCTGTGGTGCCTTCCCTATTAAGGACCAGCATTAGCATTCCTGGAGTCAGGGAGGGACTTTGTAAGTTAGAAACATAATTGAGTCAGTAAAAGTACCAAGAGGTAATTTTAATAAACTGAATTGTAAATTAAGTCTCTATTTATTCTGTGACTAAAGGCTATACATTTTTCAAGATAGCTTTCCCTTGTTTTTATTTTGTTGTTGTTGTTTCTGTTTTTATTTTCTATGTGTGCCATTTCGTAGAAGACATTCTGCCACCAATTCCAAGTTGTCTGTGTCCTACTTTCAGCTTTTTAATGCTTTTTTGTCATAGATATTTTTAACATAAAAATCAGAGAAAGGGGCCGGGCGCAGTGGCTCAAGCCTATAATCCCAGCACTTTGGGAGGCCGAGACGGGTGGATCACGAGGTCGAGAGATCGAGACCATCCTGGTCAACATGGTGAAACCCTGTCTCTACTAAAAATACAAAAAATTAGCTGGGCATGGTGGCGCATGCCTGTAATCCCAGCTACTCGGGAGGCTGAGGCAGGAGAATTGCCTGAACCTAGGAGGCGGAGGTTGCGGTGAGCCGAGATTGCGCCATTGCACTCCAGCCTGGGTAACAAGAGCTCAACTCCGTCTCAAAAAAAAAAAAAAAAAAAAAAAATCAGAGAAAGGTAATGTTTTTAAATGAAACCATTAGAATGACCACCCATTCAAGTAAACATTTGTAGGTACAATATTGTTGGTATTATTGGGTCTTTTATTGGTGGTTTTTATTGAGTGATGTTTCCACCTGTGGGAGGTAAAAGCAGGTGGAACACTAAAAATGTTTTTGATCCTCTGTCTCCAACATGTACAGGAATAGTGGCCACATATTAAGGTGCATGTGTGTGAGCTTGGATAGTCACAGAATATCTCCAGTAGATGCACAAAAAAACTTGCTTGCTACATAAAGCAAAAGAACAAGTAGTATCTGAACCTAATGGACAGAAAACACACCATCTGTCAGCAGTCAAATATCAGGCTCAAACATATAAAGCAAGAGAGGAAAATACACCCCAATTGCTGCCCTGTCCAATGTGGGTTAAATTATATATATTATTAAAATTAATCATTGATTTCTTTTTACTTTTTAAAAGGTGGTTACTAGAAAATTTTAAATTGCCTCTGTGGCTTTCATCTTATTTCTATCAGGCAGTACTGCTCTAGAATAAAGTCTAAACTTTACCTAGACCTGACCCTTAAGTCTTCAGTACCTTAGAAACATAAAGACATAAAGTGACTAAATTCAAGTCTGGAAATAGAGACGCTTACTATGTACCTCCTAAGAGTACAAAGATTAATAATGCAGAGTTCTTGTCTTTAAGAAAGTGAACTGAGATTCATAGAACCCTACTTTGAGCCAGGATGTGAGCATCCCTGCAAGTTAGTATTATAATTTCCACTGTACAACTCACCTCTAGCCTTTAATGCCTCCTCCATTCAGGACCCCAGAACCTTCCTGAAACTAATATAAGCAAAAACATTCTCTTCTCCATGGCCTTCTCTACACCCTTAGTCTTAAGTACCCTCTTTCCAACTCTAGCCTGTAACTATCCTTAAAAAAAGGTAAATGGGAGGTGGTGCTGGGGGTGGGATGTGTACTTTCTATATTATTTATTCCAGTGCCAGGACCCTGAAATCCCATTAGATCGGCTACAAGGAAATAATAGTGCCCAAGCTGGGAAAGCACAGAAACTGAGTTATTTGCTTCTCAATCAGCTCACCTTCTCCCTGTAAAGCATCAGGAGAGATTACTCTTGTTTTCTCAAAGACAAAATCAGAGTCTCACTTCTGTCACCCAGGCTGTAGTGGCATGATCACTACTCACTGCAGCCTCAATTTCCCAGGCTCGGATGATTCTCCCACCTCAGCCCCTAGTGTAGCTGAGACTACAGACATGTGCCACCACACCTGGATAATTTTTTGCATATTTAGGAAAGACAAGGTTTTGCCATGTTGCCCAGCTGCTCTCCAACTCCTGGGCTCAAGCATTCCACCTGCCTCAGCCTCCCAAAGTGTAGAGATTACAGGCACGAGCCATCACACCCAGCCTGGATTTCTAATTGGCACCTCAAACTTAACATGTTCAAAACAGAATTCCAGATTTCCCATCCCTTCCACCTGTTCCTCTTAAACTATTTTGCATGTCAGAAAATGGACATTCCTTTCTTCTCAGTAACCAGGCTAAAAGCTTTGGAGTTATTTCTGACTCCTCTCCCTTTCTCTTACCCCACATCCAATCTGTTGCATATTCTTAAAACTGTACTTTCAAAAGAATGTGCTGACCAGAATTCAGCCACTTCTCACCACCTGATATCAATTACCCTGGTGCAAACCATCATGGAGTCTCCCTTTGATGACTGATAACATTCTAAACTTGTCCCCTGCAGTCTGCTCTTACCACAGCAGCTAGAATAACCCTGATACATCTTAGATCACGTCACCTCTCCTCAAACCCTTCCAGTATGAGAGTGACAGTGACCACAGCCCAATTTTTTTGGTGTTGCCCAAAGCTCTGCACTGACTCCAGCCATACTGGACTCCTTGCTGTTCCTCAAAAACACCTGGTAATCTCCTAACCCTAGGGCCTCTCCCAAAATGCTCTTTCTTCAGTAGCCACAAGCCCACCCTCACACCTCCTTCAGGCCTTTCCTCGACTGCCTCTTCACAGTGAGGAAATTTCCCTGATCAGCCTTTTTAAAATCTGACATTGCCTTGTCCAAATACTCCCTGTCTCTGCATTATTATTCTTTATAACACTTCTCACCAGCTGGCATAGTATTTCTTCTACTCATTTCTTAAAGTTTCTGTCCTCCAAAATAGAATATAAACCCCACAAAGGTGAGGATTGTATTTATTCATTGCTATCTCTGTAGTTCCTAAAATAGTACCTGGCTCAAAATATATGATCAGTAAATATTTATTAAAGGAATGAATGGAATTTTCAGATGAGAAAAATGGGCAGGGCCTGGTGGCTTACGACTGTAATCCCAGCACTTTGGGAGACTAACGTGGGCAGATCACTTGAGATTAGAAGTTCGAGGCCAGCCTGGCCAACACAGCGAAACTCCATCTCTACTAAAAATACAAATATTAGCCAGGCATGATGGTATGCACCTGTAATCCCAGCTACTCAGGAGGCTGAGGCAGATGAACTGTTTGAACCTGGGAGGCGGAGGGTGCAGTGAGCTGAGATCACAACATTGCACTCCAGCCTGGGTGACAGAGCGAGACCCTGTCTCCAAAAAAGTAAAAAAAAAAAATTTTTAAACACGAGAAAGAAAAAGAAAAATGAAGCATGGGGAAGTTCAGTTTTAGCTC